CTTTATAATTAGGGTTTGATGAGTAATTAGTTTTATAGGTATTATTTTGTTAATTTTTTTTGATTAGTTGAATATGGGTTGTGGTTTGATTACATCTTTCAAGTTTCAATTGCTTCTTAAGATAGTGAAATGGCTCCAGTTGGGTTTGTTGGGTTTGTTGAATTTGAATAATTTGTTTACTTGAAATTTAATGATTGGCTTAATGTTAATTAATGGATGGATGGTTGTTTCATGCTAAAGCTAATTGTAATGGATTGATTATGGAATTGGCGCAAATAACTCCGCTGACAAGTTGTTTGAACAAAATTTAGTGGAAGATTGAAAGATGATGTTTCATAATCTTTGCTGCCATCATAGTTTTTGATGATCCATTATGCAAGTGGAAGATTGAAAGGTGACGTTATAAGATTATGGGGGCCTCAATTGTGCTTTGTTTTTGCATCAAGAAGGGATTGGAAGATGGTGAACGATTGGCTACACAATGGTGCTATAGGTAAGGATCCATGGAAGCCTTTTCTCATTTAGGTGATATTGATTTTAATAATTGACAATTATTGTATGTATTGATGCATTTTTTTATCAATTTCGTTTCATAAAAGAAGGATGGAAATGTGATGAATGAATACAAGCTTTAAGATGGACCTGTATAATCTTGGGTGACAACCAATTTTTTTTTTATTTGTTTCTTAACACGAATGATTCTGTTTGTAGTATTAATTGCCTATGGAATTTATTTAATAATATATGTGCACTGGAATTTGATTTCTTTTTTTCTTTTCTTTTTGTCTGGTTTGTCTCCTGTGGATGTGACTAATTCATTGTATTTCATTTCTTCATGTAGATTTAGTCACACAAAGTTGTAGTTGTTTTGATAGCTTGATCACTTAATGGTTGGACTGTAATTTCTTTTCATAACTAAGGAATCTTATATGGTCAATTAGGGAGTCGTATTTTTGGAGATGTCTTTTTTGAAATTATTTGAAAATTAGTAATCCCAAATTGATTTAAACTTATCTACAATTTGACCAAAACTCGAATGGAGTTAACTTATTTTAATGCACCCTTATTATTTTTCATTGGTGATATTTTTGCATTGCATGGTGTCTTTAGGCACGGGTATTAGCTTGACAAATTGTTATGTTGTGTTTGTTGGTAAATTATTATTTAGAGGAATGAATGGTTAATATTATGACGTTGATTTGAGTATAATTATAAGATATATAACCTTTGTATACAGGTTGAGATTTTCTTGGGCAACTATTTTTTGATGAAATTCTGTCAATTTTTTTTAGAAAAATAGAGAAGACTAGACTGATGCATGTCTATGTTCAGTGTTTGATTGTTTCGTGTTTAAGAATAATGTTTTTTTTTTAATTTCACAGATTCTGTAGGCACGGATTATGAGGGTAGTTTAGATTTTCAGCTTAGTACGTGTCTCAATTCAGTGCTCGATTGTTTTTGAATTACATTGTGCCTTCAGGCACAGGTTATCCCTAATTATACACATATTTTAAGTTCATTTAATTATACGCATGTGATGTATTGTTAATACTGAAGATATCAAGACTTTAGTTGTTGGAAGGTCGTCAATACGTGGATTGTCTCAGCTTGAATATCTATTTCCAAAATTATTAATTTTCTACTAACAAGAACCAGAATTTTTTTGAACATTAATGGCGAATATCGACAGATTCCGGTCGTTTTTTTCAGTAAAATGGCTAAGTTTAGGCCAAGTCCTTAGAAAAATATATGGAGGGGGCTGCCCTCTTTTTATTTTTTAGTCTAGAAACAAAAGCAATAAGGTGGTTCCAAGTTCTGCAAATGGCTTCAATCCATGTCTCACGTTGGTATTATCTAATATGAACCTGACCTACCCCTGTTGATCAATTTTTTTGACCCTTTAGCACTTAGATTTGCCAATCAGCACAGCACACTATCAAGCTAACTCAGATGGTAGGAGGTTTCAGTGGTTAGCGTAATTTTGCTTGGCCCTATGTGCGTATTATGGGTGATTTGAGTTCCTTTTTAATTTACATAGTATATCAGTCACGAGTTCAAATAATGTGTTGTTGGAATGAATCTCATTGATCAAATAAATAAAAAATTTGATACAACATTGATCTCACGGAGCGTTTAGCTTGTTATTTAGAGAAGCGTTTTGATCGTGTGTTCATATATCATTGTATCATTCTCCCACAATATATTGACAGACTTGGGGTAACCCGTATCTAAAGGTACGGTGTAATGTGAATAATTTTAAGAGGAATATTGGTGACTATTGAATGAGTTTATTTGAGATCGCTGAATGGATTTATTGAAGTCTGTCCTATTTTATATTATAGATTGTGACGTCTTTTTGACGTCTTTTTTTTCTTGGAGAATGTTTGAGATGTTTCTTTCTTGACGATCACGAAGCCATAAAAATATAGGGCCACCATTTCCTCCTACCGTTTGTGCACTAGCCGAATGAGTCAAAATAGGCCCCATGCTGCTCATCCACCGCAAAAAGAGTAATGCCAAACCGAAAAACAAAGTCCAATGAAGGGACTAACTGGGATTGACTAAGTATATGGTTGATTTTCGGACCAAAATTTTATAGCTCGTGTAAAATTTTGACAAAATAAAATTTTAAAATTTATTTTTAATTTAGATTTGGTGTCCGGTAACTGTTGGTCTGAAAATTTTGTTTAATGAACACCACCATGTTAATGTTACATAGTTTGATTCCTCAATAAAGTGCCATGTTTTAATGTTTTTAACATTTTTTGGGTTGTATATCGTTTGATCACAATTATAACGAACGATCAACTATTACAACATGTGAATAATATATTTATAAAGAGTACAAAATACCCAGTGATAAATGAACAGAAGTCCGAAAGAGAGCATTATCAAACCCCCTATCATTACTCGTACAAAGAATGGAAAAAAAAATCGGAAAGTACCCTTTTTTCATTATTAGTCTAGAAACAACAATAATTTTTGTTCCAAAGTTTTCAAGTTGTCCAACAATCCTCAACCCGCGTAGTCAAAGTTTTTCACATGAACTCTCTATATATGAGTGCATAATAGGACCATGATCACCCAATTACTAACATTTTCAAGATTTTTTTAAATTGAGATTTGTTATTGGCAATCCGACAATATCATTCAAATTGTAGGAAGTTATTATGGTTAATACTTCAAAGTATTAAGTTTAAATCTGACAACAAATTTTTTGGTTAAATTAACTTGATATTTGTAATTTAGGGGTAATTGAATGTATTTTGAGTTTACAAAATAGCCGTAAATTTACTGACAAAATGTCATGTATTTGTTTTTTTTTGGAAGATATTTGGTGTGCTTCTTTCTTTGTAGTCAGGAATTCATAGTAAGATTAAGGCCACTACTACCTCCTACACTTTGTACGTCATCTAATAAGTCAAAATAGGGCCCAATGCCCTCTTTAGTTGAGATGCCAACACATTTTTCAATGCCTTGCTCCCCAAGAACAATGGACTCTTCTTGTGAGCAAAATGGATAACTCATCTAATACAAAATGAGTAATGTCACAATTGGCCAAAAAATTGTATCAATTTGAGTGGTGTTTATTTGACGAAATTAGCCAAGCAATGCTTCGATTTGGCGCTTGATTTTTAGATCCAAATTTTGTACCTACATGAAAAATTGTTTGATGATGCACAAAATTAATTATGTATGATTAAATTAGTCGAGTGTGTGGTGTAAAGCAATTAATGAAACAATTAATAATAAGAGATAAAGATTGGGTGGTTGTATTTGGATGACCTAACCACTGAAGGCAATAACAATGGTCGAAAAACTCACTTAATGAAATAGTACAAGAGAGTAGGAGAGAGAGGGCAAGAGTACATCAAGGTATAATGTGTGTCCCCTATGTAAGGGGTTTACAATTTATAGGCATAAAGACCTAGATGTGGCGGTGACGTGAAAGTCAAGTTACTAATCTATTAGGGAGGATAGTTACAATTGAGAATATATACTATTTTGGAGTAATAGCTATCCCAATAATTGCTTTCTTACGTGCATTGACTTTCCTTAACTTTTGAACTTTGAACTGGATTGAGACTATGAGCTAAATTTGGTCTGCATTTAGATATTTGGACTTAATCCATAGACTAGGTCTAGATCTGGGCTCTTCATTTCCTCCCCATGCCTCAAGCCCTAGTAGTGGTAGGGGGTTGAGGGTATGAGTGATTTCCTTCATTTGGGTAGACCAAGGTATCTTGTTTCATACAGTGGCTTCTTCAACTTTTCATTCCATTGCATTTTCGAAACTTATTTCCTCAATTGGTAGTACTATTGCTGGACACCCATTGTGCTAACAAACATCCTCCTCAACTAGGTCTTCCATTAGATTCAAGAAAACTCCATCCCCTTACACTGGAAACTCCATTTTTCTTTTAGGGCATCAAGTTTAGGGTTTTAGAGGGATACATATAGACCCAAGAGTAAGCCACCCATATTTCACTTTCTTTATTCAAAACTCCTCCTTCCTGATTAGAGCTAGGAAGTTTCATTCACTTTATCCCATAAATAGCAGAGAGAGGTCAAAGAAGAGGAGCATGGAGGCCAGAAGGAGGACGATGAAAAAAAGGCACCCTTGGTGGGACCATGGGCCAAGCCATAGGCGACGCTAGGAAAGGAGGGCTAGGCGACGGCGCCGGGGATGGGGGCTGCTAGGCAAGGAATCCAAGGACGGGGGGTTACTAGGCAACGACAGTGACGAGGACAATGGTGACGGTGGAGAGTTGTTGGGTGCTGGCAACACCAAAAGGCAGATAGACGCTGGTGGGCAACTGGGCGCTTCGCGTGTTGGGTAACGAGGGTAGAGTCTTGGACCTGGGCTTTGCCAAGGAAGGAGATAGTGACGTATTTCACCCCGGTAAGGCGATTTTACTCGCCATTTAACTATTCTGCTATTCTGGCATCCTTTCTTAGTATTGCCTATGATTTTGACAGACGCTTAATCTGATAAGAGTATGATGATGGATATTACACAAGCTTCGCAGCAAGGCAAGGGAGCTACTAGCAGTGATGGCTCAAAGTTAACCTCGATTTTTAGCTTCATAGATTGTGACAATGATATTGCTAGCAATCAATCTTCTGTGCGGTAAAATGCAAGAGTTTTGGCGTTCTGCACTAGCCAAATGAGTCAACATAGGCCCAATGCTGTCTATACTTGATAACCAATACATTTTCTAATGCCTTGCTCCTCGAGCGTATTTGCCTCCCCCCGCCACCAAAATGGGTTACGGCACTACAAGAAAAGTGGGAAAATTTTGACATTTAATTCTTGACGTTTGACTTAAACGTCACTAATTTGTCCCCTCCAAAAATTATTAATAATTTTTTTTTTTTACTTAATTTCTAGCGTTTGACTTAAACGCCACAAATTATTAAAAAAAAAAAAAAAATTCCCTTAATTTCTGGCGTTTAAATCAAACGCCACATAATTTTAATTAAAAATAATAAAAAACTTTTTTTCTTTATCCCCCAACATTCACTCTAATTTTTCCCCAATTGGCCGGACTTCTCTTGCTTTCACTCTTTGGACTGTTCAAAGGGTGTTGCGGTCCTCAGTCACAGCCAGATCATTGAAGGCACAAGCTTTTGGTTTGTTCATCTATTCTTATTCAGTTCTCGATTTCGTGGCTCGTTGTTTTATGTGAATCTTATGGATTAATTCATTCCAGATTTGCAATTCAGCTGTTTAATTTCGCCGAAGCAATTAGTAGTAGTCGGAGATCACCAGAGAAATTGTTCAAGATTTTGGACCTTCACGACGCTTTGTCGAACTTGTAGCCTGATATTAAAGTTGTCTTTCAGTCAAAGCAATCGGAATAGATTAGGGTTCAGGGAGTGGAAATATTGTCCCAGTTGGCCGAAGTGGCGAGAGGAACATTGTCTGAATTTGAGAATGCTGTGCTTCGCGAGCCGTCGAGGATTCCTGTGCCCGGAGGTACAATTCACCCCTTGACTCGGTATGTTATGAATTAAATAAGTTTGATATCGGATTATAGCCAGACATTAATGGAATTGATTGTATCCAAGCCATCAACGGGGTGGAGGTATACCGGTGATCCTAATATGCCTATGTTCGTTGTTGATATTATAATTTTATTCTATTCTTCGAGATGATTACTAAAATTTATATAATGAAGTCACATTCTTCGTTAGTGCAGTTCCATGTGCCATTATTGACCATCGTGAAATCTCCTAATCCACAGTTATGAAAAGACTCTGAATCGTTTCTTCTGAGTTTGTACTCTATAAGTGTGATTTACCAAATGTGAAATAGAATACCAGGCTCATGACAATTTTCTTCTTGCATCCTTGAGAGCTTATTTGATTTGACCATCATAAGTGTAATCTAGCTGATAATGCTGATTTATATTTTTCTTTTGTTATTTGTTTGCAGTGCCTTTTGTACTTTATTCAACTTGAGAGCAAATTGTATTTTACTGGGTTGTGATCAAGAAGAGAGGTACAGCCTTAAAACTATTACTGATTCCATAAACGTAATAACAAATTAAAGGAAAGTAAAACAAGGGAAGAGTGCTTTTATGCTGGTTCATTTTTGTGATTTATACCTATTTTTCATGATTTTTCTTTCCTCTTCTTTACTGTTGATGAGGACTTTGAGAACAAATATGCCAAGAGATTTCTGGTCTATGTTTGGCATGTAAAACATGCTTAGTAAGATTAAGTTTTGGGCGCATGCTTAAAACCACACATGTGGAATGGAATGAAAGATTTGTTATGAGCTAGATCATCATCAATATGGTAGACATCAGTAATTTAATTTTAGCTTTGTTATGCGTTACATGTAATTTAAGCTTTGCATCATGTAATTTGTAGCATTGAGTTTGATGGATTTTTTGTGCTTGTTGGGTTTTCTATTTGTATTGAATTTGTGTTATTGGAAATACAAATATGTTCATTTTATTGTTTTATGTGGAATTCATGTGTTAATTTTTATTAAATGTTAGGTTCATCGACAAAAGAAAGCGAAATTGCAGCATGTTAATAACAATGCAGCGAAATTCCCGCCCGAGTGACTCTCCCTCTTTTATGCCAGTAAGTTTTTTTTTTTCCTTCTTAATTTCTTTTATTGGGAGAAGTTTTGCTAATGAATTGTTGTGTTCTGCTTATGTGGTTTTCAGTTGTGTACCAAACTTGGGTTCTTTGATCCTTGGTCAAAGAACTAGATAGCCTTCCCACTAACTGGCCCGAGCGCTTCAGAGTTTACAGTGTATTCAATCGTGTCAATTGCCTTTCTTATTTACTTCATCTACTATAGTTATCTTCCATGCCCTGGTCTTTTCTTACCCTTCTTGTGGTTAAACTTAATCCGGTCACATTCATCAGATGATCATAATAAACCACAAACCTATGATGAATGTGGCCATTGTTGCAATGTTACCATACTGTAATGGTAAAACTCTCGGCTTTAGTGTTGCCTTCACTTCCTTGTGCTTTGTTTGCCATTCTTGTCTACCATTTAGTGAATAAATATTTGTTTCTCGTACACATGGTATAACCACCCAAGGATAAAATTCCACATGTTCACGAAATAACTAGCTCGAATACATGGTACCCACTTCATGAGTTAATTTGATTGTATTAAAGCTGCTTAGCTTGATTTTCCATCTCATAAAATAGTTCTTTTCTTGTTTGTTCCAGTGCACACGGATTAGGAACAACAGCATTGTCAGCAAAAGAACTGGAGGCTCTCCCATTTTGCGCCATTGCATATGCTCTGACTGGTATATTTGGTTGTCTGATTTTCTCAGTTCCGGCAGTCAGGCAAAGCTTAATCAGATGGTGCGTTGGACTCCAAACATATATTGTTTTTTTGACTCAAGTTTCTTTAGCATTACTAAGCATTGGCTGCAAAATGCTACATTCTCCAATAATTTTTTTTAAGTTGAGACTGTTTGTCAAATTTATCTTCCTTCCTTTTCTGGGTGTTGGGGGGTTATTGATTAAAATGCCAGCTACGTTTTATGCTGCTACATCTTTGTTTCCTGATGTGGTTCATTCATTTGTCTCTGATTTTCTCAAGAAATTGAACTGAAGGTCTGTATGTAAAGCAGCTTGAATATAGAAAAC